TTTTTTTTCAAGCGAAGATGAGATTAGATTTTGGCACGCACAGAAAGTTTCGCAAGTACCAGTTCCTCGACATACCTGCGTGGCCCGTGCGACGAAATAACTTCACGGGATTGGCAAAGTTTCAGTCACAGCAAATTATGCAAAAAATCTAGGAAGATTTAAGCTTAAATCTTGTTTAAGGTTTAAAGCGACATATCAATGACTGCAACCATCGTGTTGTATACAAACCTCGCAAACTTTAAAACACGTTCTCTAGTGATACCTGCGAAAGTATTCAGCATAATTTCCGGTAAGATTTTCGCGGACAATCTGATCGATTTCTCTTACATTGTGTGCTGAGACTGAAACTTTTCACCTCAAGCAAATCTCCGTCGCACGGCCCAAACAAAAATAGCCAGCAACTGAGCGATTGGTATTTGTCCGTGTCAAAACACACGAAAGGACTCCAAAGCACACTTCAATCTGATTGGGCAGAAAAACACAAAGATTTTTCTGGCACCAATCAGATGGCAGAACGACTGCGACCGTTTGGAACTAGTCTTGTAAGCCAATGTCCCCAGGGGCTCTTCATGCCCTAACTTGAAATCGACTCAGCCCCTGGGTCTCCGAGGATGACATTATCTTCACTTAACCTGATTTAAGGCGCTTCTATAGTCGCAGACATTACTTTCAGAATCAGTTTTATAACTTTAATCCGGCAATAGAACTGGGGATTGTCCATGACTTTTTCATTGATCAACATAATAGTGCACACTCCCATGTTCCCTGGATTGCAATAAATATCTTCAGTTGAATGATCTGTCTATAAGTTAACATCTTGAGTCAATGCAGTGGATGTTGTTACACTCAACAGGGTAATTTTTGTCATGTATAGAAAGTAAATTGACCTTTTTATTTGGACAACTGCTTTACTTTACAGCAACATTTAAACGACTGCAACTATTTATGTTCTTATTAATGTGAAACTGGTCAGTTTAGAAGGTACAGGGACATTAGAGAGTTTAAATCCACATTTGGTGTGTTAAGCGCAAACGTCAAACTGCGGTTAGCAATTTGCGATTAAAGGTTGAAGTTTCTAGATTTTCAGCTTTTTAGATCGACGTTGTCCTTCACCCGAGAAAAATCAACATGTTAAGTACACCGCCATCTTGAATTCCAAAAAGAATGGGGATCCTTCATCTCAACACAAAATGCGGCTAAAGTTTGGATTTCTAGCATCCCGAACTGATTGGTTAAAGACAAAAGACTTAATGACACAAACGTGTACAGGACACACGTGAAAACTCTGAAACAGAAAAAAGAATAGAGCCAAAGGAGTTTACTAGCCTGAAACTGCCTTGCCCAAAGTTCAAATTTGGGCCGCAAATGTCGAAATAGATCATTGGAATCTGGTTACGTGACTCGTAGCGGTTTGGTGTCACACACATTTATTAACAAATGTCAATCTAAGACTCCCTATTACAAAGCTTTTACATCGATAATCATCCGCAGAGTTGATATTTCTTTCCTAGCTTCTACAATCACATGACATCTTTATGTTGTCAGGGTACTTGCAAATTTGACCCTGTATAGCTACCTGCAGCAAAACATTTTTTGACCTCTGAGGACTGTTATCGCTGTAATTAAGTCCGGCTGTTAGGTGATCCAAATTCATGGTTAGTGTAACATCATATAATCAAGTTTAAGGCTGAATTGATTCCTGAAATTTAGATTATTGCAGTAAATTTGCAAGAAAATGCCCATGACATAATGGTCACAATTTGTCATTAATAACTCTTTGGTAACTTGAACTCAGATTAGAGTACCCAGAGAAACCTTTAAAAAACCAGCATAAATACATTGGATGAAGTGAAGGAATAATTTATACTCTTCCGAGGTACGCCACCAATCACCCAATTTACGACTTCTTCAAGCATCCTTTTGTGGAATGGTAGAAATCAATGGTTTCGTCAAGAAAATCAAATATAGGAGCAAAATCCCATAACAGAGTTTAGTTATTCAGTCCTTTTGTAATATTTTCATTCTGCTGTATTGTCTTTATCTCTAATAGCACAGTGCATTGCTAATGTAACCTCATTTTTTAGGTGACCTCTATTGTAGTTACAGGTTATTATGAGTCATTAGAGCAAATTAAAATTTACCAATCGAACAAAACACGGTACTTACAGAACACATTGATAGCTTCAGTCTTAGAGTCATTTCCACATCTATTACTTGCTTCACATGTGTAGTTCCCAGTATCATTTCGGCTAATGTTAGTGAAATTTAATAATTTCCCAGCATGGCGCTCACCACTGGTAACTTTGATCCAAGAAACACTTGACACAGGAACCCCAGATACCTCACAACTCAGGTGATATGGGTAACCTTCAACAGCAGTATTTGAAGAGATAAATACACCATCCACAGATGAAGGATCTGTAATTAAATTAATAAATGATTCTAATTAGCATATTTTGTAATTTGACATAAAATATTCATAGATTAATAACCTTGCATCCGAGCTACTTCAAAGTTTTCAATTGTTTTTTCTACCAAGACTTTTACATGTCCCACCTAGAAAATAAACAGGTAAATTAAAATTATCTAAAACTTTCACTTTTAGCCTTGATGCAGCTTGGAACTAGAGACATTTTCAAAATACAAGTTCAATCATTTCACTTTCAAGATTTATATGTATATATTTTATCAACTATCTTGTCCATGCACTCCACTTATTTTACAACCCTAATTAGCTCTAAGAATTTCAGGGTCGTCATCAAAGAATGTAATAAGATGATGAAATTGATCTGAACTGAGTAAGCAGCCAAACTGAATTAGACTCGTGTGGCAAACTTGTTGTGTAAAGAGGAAAACACCCTTCTAGGAGGTTCTGTGGCATTCTCCCTCAAAAGAGTTTTAAATTGGATATTCTCTGAGTTGTGATATTCAGCATTCTAAGACACATTTGAGTAACCCCTTTTGGCCAAAAATAGTGATAATGTTAAAATCAGTTCATTAGTACCAATTATATTTTGCCTGTGATCACAATTCACCAAGGTGACGTTCTGATGGCTGATGGGTTTCCATTGCTTACTATCTCCTAATGGTAACCCTAAAATTTGTTTTTGAGTTTAAAAATATCCCCTAGATGGTGTTTTACTTTCTTATTACCATCTTTCAGCTCCAAATGTACTTAGTAGGGAGAAATTCCTTTCTGGTCATTGTTGGGGGTGAAAAGATTGGAAACCGCGGTACGGCGTAAAAGTGGAATGAGGAAAAATGACCCTAAATCCTGAGACACAGAACGGCTGAAAATGACCATTTCGGGTGTGTTATAGGACATGTGGTCATTTTCCGCCGTTCCATGATTTAGGGTTTGGGGTCATTTTACACCATTGGCCATTCCAGCTTTTAGGATCACCCCAGTATCTCCCCACTGGATTAAATTAAAATCGCAAAGAAGCTCTTTAAAACCCAAACCAAACCTGATGTTTCAGACAAGCTGTCATTTTACCTTAAAATTTTACTTTGGATGATAGTAAATGTTAAAGTAAAATGTTCTGGAAAAAAAAACATCATCTAAACTTCAATCTACAACATTATTTGTTGCATCTAATGTACTTCAAACTCCTCATAGGAAAATAATGGACTATCTAGAATGCTA